TTGGTCAGCAGAAGCCCGATATTCAACGCCCGACGCATCGAATTGCATCGGTCCTGAGATTTCAGACTTTGTGGGCAATAGTGCACAAAGTTTCGAGAGACGTAGCAGGGGGGCAATCTGATGCAGAAGACTCGCTTACGCTGACCATATCTGACCCATGCCTAAGTATTACATCTTGTTAGTAAGCCTATATTTTCTCCTACGAGGCTGCCAAAAGTAACCGCAAACTATATATACGGTCACGAATGAATTGGTCGTGCATCTGCTCACTAGCATCGATAGTTACCCGCAGACGTGCAGCTCCTACTTTGAACGTGCATAGCATGGCCGATACGATACGTGGGGCTAGCGTTGAAGCTCTTCGCACCAGGTCTCCGCGTCGAAGCCGCAAACCCGTCGATTATACAAAGTACTTCGCTGATAATAGCAGCGTCGATGCTAGTGAAGACGAGTCTTCAGTCGGGAGTGTCGACCATACTATCATTGAAGAGAGCAGCACCAACCAAAGTAGATACGAGTCTACCATGGAGAGTGCAGAATATACTAGCGATGCAGAGAGCAGCACCGATGATAGTGGATACGGCAGTAGCTCGTTCGTTTCAGATGATTCTGATGGATCAGTAGATTCTGACGACTCGTATGCTCCCAGTAGCCGAAGAGAAGACGATAGTTTCTCCGAGCCTGATTACGATGCTTCAGGCAGCTCATCTGATGGAGGCTCGGGTTACATGCCTTCCGTGTTGCGTGACAGGCACCGAATCTCAAGTATTAGCGATGGAGAGAGCAGCGCCGACGATAGTGGATACGGCAGTAACTCGCTCGCTTCAGATGATTCTGATGGATCAGTGAATTCTGGCGACTCGTCTTCCCCCAGTAGCCCAAGAGAAGACGATAGTTTCTCCGATCCTGATTACGATGCTTCAGGCAGCTCATCCGATGAAGGCTTGAGTTGCAAGCCTCCTGTATTGCGTCTCAAGCAACGGGCCTCAAGTACTCGGTGAACGCAACTCAACCGCTAGATGGTTTCAAAAACTACGCATTTGTTGACTCTGCTAGGGATCTACCAACTTCGAATGAGCTTATGGACTGAGAGGGTTCCCGAAGACCATAATGGAAGGAGTGATCGGTTAGAGGGTATGGAGTTACAGCATACCAGAAAATACTTCCTCGACAAAGGGGGGCGGCGATACGGAGGCAGGGTCGTAGTTGTGGACAAGCCTCCGACGGCATGCGTGCTGCAGCGCTTCTAGACCGAATCAGATCGTTGGTCTACCCTACTGGCATTGTGGAAGGTGTGCTGAAACAAACCTTGTTTCTAACCATGTCTCGTCTGTTCGATTGTTGTAGACTGGCTACGAGCAGGAGCGTCATCTTTAGAGATAGCAATCCATGCAGCAAACGTTCTTACGATTTTACCTCTGATGTATATATCGACCATACCCGCGTGCAAAAGCCCACGCTACATCGAGGCTTACTCCCTTCATTGAGGGTTAAATGATGCGTGACGGGTCTGACGATTGGAGAGGCCAATATCTATATGCGCATTATTGTAGTCAATCAAAGTCCCTCCCCATGTGACGGAAAATCCTGTGTATCCGAACCAGCCCATGAGATATAGTATCGTGTTGGGAAAGATGTTATCCCTGTCCTCTCATCGGCTGGTTCCGGCACACAGGGTTTTCCGGCACACAAGGAGGGACTTTAGCTGCTGTATGCGGCTCTCTGGATCAAGCCCAACTGCCCATCAGTGATCATGAAAAAGCCTATTGCAGGCACAGTGACGGTTGACAATGAACTCAAATCGATATAGGGAAGAGGATATGAAAAGCCATTTTAAATACGCTACTGCACGCAACAATTCTAGTAAATCAGACACAGTTACTATGGATGACAAGTACTAGCGACCACATTGAGCCACTCCGTCTGAGTGCCGGCATCTCTCCAAGCTGTGGTCTTGTATTTCTCCGTAAGCTTTCGACGGTTTTCGTCCGAAATGTTCACGAGCTCTGTGATCTCGGCCCCGTGCTCTTCCTCAAGATTTCGAAGGTCTTTTTCAAGAGCGCATTTGAGCCCTGCCAGATCGGCGAAATGTTTTTGCTTACATTCCTGGAGCTTTTGTGCATATTTGCGATCTGAATTCTCTATCGTGGCGTGGTCGAATTCCTCCTGGGTAGACTGCTCCAATCTGTACTGTTCAATCGCTCTATCAGTAAGCTTATTACTTGTATCGGAGGCAGAAACAGGGCTTTCGGGAGTCAGGATGGTAGTCGAGTCTTGATTCATAGCTGCATCTGAGTGCGGAGATTCACGTTCCTCAGAGGGTGCCGATGTCTTGTGCTTCCGTTTGCGAGATGATTTTCTTCCCACGCTTTCGCCTGCAACCTCCTGTTTTCTCTTCCTCTTCTTCTGTCCCACTTTCTGCTTCTGCTTCTGCTTCTTCTTTTCATTTGATTCTGTGTCACTTGACATTGCAGGCGTTAGCGATGACGGTATCCTAGCTCTAAAACTGATCCTAAAAGCCTGTACTTCACTTGGCTCAAGATATACGGGTGACTTCCGGCGATGGACGGGCAAGCGTATACTTATCGACTATATGCCAAACGAATCTCACGTCATTTGACATATCAGCGCTTCGACAAAGCTCCCATTTTGTACCTTCTGCTTAGCTCTCAACGGACCAAAGCAGTATAAAGCGTCCTACCGTTGACGCTGGCCTCCATGTTCATCCGCTAAGCAGATCACTGCGCTGACAATAGCCGTGATGAAAGAACCCTGGGCGGACTACGCTTACGGGCAGACCCCTCCTACTTCGTCAGCTTTCTCACTTGATGACGACAGGTATTTAGTCTCCATCGCGCCTTTGCATCCCAACGTCAAGATTCTCATCCACCATGCTGCTGATCCAGCCTGCTTCGTTGGGGCTCGCCTGCGCGATGTTTGCCAGCACGCTCGCTCATGTGATGCTCGAGAGCCCTGTCCCATACGGTAGACCCACGCTGAATAACTCGCCTCTGGATGGCACTGGCTCAGACTTCCCGTGCAAGCTCCGACCGGGCGTGTACGATGTGACGCAGATGAACTACTGGACGGCCGGCGAAGCGCAGACCATCCGCTTCTTAGGCTCTGCGGTTCATGGCGGCGGCTCCTGCCAATTCTCAGTGTCGGAGGATATGCAACCCACCAAGTCCAGCCGGTGGAAGGTGGTGTACAGCGTGGTCGGGGGCTGCCCGGCCAGTGTAGAGGGGAATCTGCAAGGAGGTCCTGCGAGCCGCGTCGCAGATACGTTCGAGGTCGTGCTCCCCAAAGAGCTGCCGAGTGGCGAGTATACCTTCGCCTGGACCTGGTTCAACAGGCAAGGCAACCGTGAGATGTACATGAACTGTGCTCCGATCACGGTCCGCGATGGGGGAAATGACCCTAGATTTCTTGCGTCCCTTCCCGACATGTTCGTCGCGAACCTGCCAAGCTCAGCTTGTTCCACCGTTGAGAACTTTGACTACGCATTTCCAGATCCTGGAAGCGCTGTGCTGACCGGAAGCCAGGCAAGTCCTACTACGGGGCTCGTCGGCGCCGGATGCGCTTCCATGACTGCGCTCGGTAGCGGGTCGGGGACGGTTCGTCCTGCGAATGCGTTGTCAAACAGCTCGCCCGGCCAGCAAAGCACGTACACGGTTTTGGGCGAACAGCCGGCGGCTGCAGCTTCCGAGGTTGCCTCTGCGAACTGGCTCGGCAGCGCAGCAGTGAAAGCTCTCGCTGTCGGAGAGATGACAGCTTCCGAGGCTAAGGCTTCTGTTGCTCAAGTTACGCAGGCGCTGGCATCCCAGGGGCCGGTACCACCGGCAGGCGTAGCAGCCAGTCTGCCAGCTGCATCTGAGACCTGCGTGCCATGTAGTTCGACGAACGAGGTTGTCTGCATAGACAGCGACCATTACGGCCTTTGCGATCTTGGCTGTGCACGTTCGCAGTTATTGGCCCCTGGAACGGTCTGCACAGATGGCCAGATCTTGAGACGTGATGTTTGAGAGGCTCTGGAACTTGTCTTGTTGGAAGGAGAACAGTTGTCAACGCTCTCCATGATCCTACTTCATAGTTGATGCTGCTTGCTGCTCTGTAACTACCGCATGCTATGCCATGCATGTGGTTTTGGAATGGAACAAACTTCTCGCTCGCATGCTCATCATCGTTCTCCTTGTGTCATCTATAGATACGAATGGAAATCCCGTATCAGGGGTTGTCAATGCGCTATGGCAGTCCGTACGAGATGATGTGGAGGTAGAATCAAGATGATCCAGCATGGACGCATGTATTATGTTCCCAGTATGGTATAATCGTTTGTCGCATGCTCTCAAAGGTGATTCAATCAACATGAAGGCGCAAAGTGGTTAACGTTCTAATTAAGCATAAAACAATGAGATATAGCCTGTCACCAATGTTCTATACTAAGCGCGATAAAACTGATCTAGGCCATAAAGTCCCTCACTGTATGACGGAAAACCCTATGTGCCGGAATCGACCAACGAGATAGAGTACCGTGTCGGGAAAGATGCTACCCCTGCCCTCTCATTGGCTCGTTCCGGCCCACCGGGCTTTCCGTTACACAGGGAGGGATGTTACTTCATACAAGCCGCCACCGAGCGACGCTGGAAAGCATGTGCGACTACCAATTTCTTTTCTCCTCGTTCCCTCCGCTGAGTTCGACAGGTTCTACGTTGACTGACAGTGTGTTCCTGTGGTCGGTCTGTGTGTGCAGTCCAGCAGCTGTTTGGCGCCCAGTGCGAGCTTTGCGCGCGAAGAAATAGACAAGACCCGTGCACAACGCGAGGAAGAGGATTACACCGACCGTGATGCCGGCAATGGCTGCTGTGGAAAGCGCCGGGGACGACTGATCGGCCGATGCAATGTCTCCCGGTGAGCTGGCCGCTGGTGGAGAGGCGACTGTCGAAGGCGCTTCATTAGGGACAGGATCGCCCGGTGCTAGTTGGTAGTCGGCCCTGGCTGCAGCCAGCACCTGTTCATGGAGCGTTTGTGTGGCGTTTGGATTGATGACGCCAACCATCTGCTTCCCTTTACACGAATCAGGGGCAGCACAGTAGTAGAAGATCGGCTCTGTGCTGTTGATCGTGAGATTCCAATGGGTAATCTGTCTTCATTAGCCAGCAGCCTCGAACTGCCGACACTATCTGGGACCGCTCACATCGCTGGGTGTCTTGACCCACTGCGTCTCTGACCAGAATCCCGTCCTGTCTCTTCCAGTGTATTCGTAAGGCACGCACGCGCTTCCATACTCGGCCCGAGCCACAGAGTGATCTGGCGGGTAGAACTCGAAGGTGACGATGTCTCCAACAGACACATTGGTCAGTTCTGCGGGTTCGAAGTGAAAACCGCCTGCACCGGCTTTGACCACATGGACCCGGACTTCGGAGGCGGTAGTTTGCGTGGCAACAGACGAAGTAGAGGAGGCGGTGCTCGCAGGTGGAGCAGCTGATGTGGTTGAGGACGTTACGCTCATCCGGCTGTCGGTTGTCGCTTGTGTAGGACTCTGTGCCAGAACAGCGATTAGCATGAGCGTGAGTGTTGCGGCCCAAGCCAGTGGTGTGGACATAGTCGAGTTTTGCGTATTGCGACGCAGTTTCACCAGCGAGGTGTAATGCGAAACCGTACGACCGTGATTCTAGAAGAGGGCGGAGATTGACAATGGCTACACACCTGCCACAAAGAAGTGACCATTCTTGTGATCTAGATGTGCCAAGGTATTCCTGTAGGTCACTTACATACTCACCAGTATCCGCGCGACACTCGGCTAGGGTCTCATCACCAGCAGTGGACAGCATCAAGGTGTTGTAGACAGATTCGGCTTGCCAGCTAATCTAGCCCCTTCACCATGATGCATGATCGAGGCAAAGGCATGGCACCAATCATGCGATTCACATGCTTGTGTCTTACCGTAAGGAAACCTACGTCTCATTACGTCTGATTATGAACCGCTTGCAACAATGCCAAAGTTGTAGGGCAGGATCGTCGCTCGCAGACAGAAGACACACGTGGGGGAGAAATCGACGCCACAGTAAGAGGTATACATGACCTCCAAATCATGTGTAAGCCGCTTACCTGTCAGAATCGCTCGTAGTCGCCTGGGTCGTGCTAACGCCATACTTCTGGATCAACCTGGAAGAACTTTCGTAACGCGTCCTCTTTCCCACTAATCACCTGCTTCGCTCACTGGCTCTGGAATACGTGCAATAGAAACAGATGGTAGTACAATGAAGAGCTAGGCGTGCTCCTCTCGTGGTCTCAAGCGTCGGCAGCGTCATGTACACTTTGCATCTGGCCCTCCATGTCGCTCCTCACGCTGAGTGCGGAATTGCTGCTGTGCATTGCGTCGTCGTTGCAACAGCAAGAGCTCCTGAATATGTCTTTCACGTGCAAGCATCTGCAGTCGGCCACTGAGCCGGAGCTCTTTCGGGAGTATAGCAATGTGTCTCGACACCGCCGCTTGTTCCTGCCTTTTCTCAAACGAATTATCCGTTAGCCCGATCGAGGCAAGCACACTCGAAAGCTGAACCTCAGACCTTGGACCACGCTCGGCACCTTCTGGAACAGGGACTTCGAGCCAGACGGCATCATACACGAGAATCGCCATAAGCGACAAGAGTTGGGCAACATTCGTGGCACAAAGCTCACCACAGCGGATTATACCCTGCTTGTTCAGGCCGCGAGAGACACTGAGGTGATGCAGAGAATTCCGCCGTTTGATCGCAGTACCTGCCATCCCGAGATAGTCGACAAGACTACATCCGTCACTACTGTACCCCCAAATCTCGGAGGCACACACGCGTTCGATCGCACGTTCTCCGAGCTGCTATGGGCAGGCAGTGAAAATCCACTGGTCATACTTCTCATCGCCTTGCTTCCGAACGTGAGAGACATCGTGCTTGACGATGTGTCGGGCGATGTACATGCTCTCAGCTGGCGGTCGAAGCAAAGCTTCTCAGCGTTGCGGACACTGACAGCCTGTGAAATCGACAGCGAGCTGCAGTGGCCTTTTACTTTCTTCCAACGGCTGCTGGCTGCAGGCAGACCGCGTGCTCTGCAGATTTCTCACGCTACCTCAGGGCGTCTACAGCACACCGAGCACGAGCCCATGGCACAAGAGCTTCTTCCACCGTTGGCTCCGTTGTCCGGGACGCGGGCCCTCGAACGGATCGAGTTGGAGAACTGCTGTCTACGAGGATCGGATCTGCGGTCGTTGTTGTAAGGCTGCCGCGACTTGAAGAGCTTCTTGCACATAAGCAGAAGATGTGAGGCCGGACCTTGGAGCCCCTCGCCTGTTAAGTTTGTCGAACCAGTCTACGTGGAAGAGATCAAGCGACTTTATCTGGATCTGGTGCCGTTCATGTGCACTGGGCCATAACAGCTGCACGCCGAGGTGGGAC